CGCTGCGCCCGTCCCCCTCCCCCGCCGCTTGATCCGCCGCAGGCTCCGAGTGCGTTGAGAAGGGCGCCGGCAACACCGAGCTCAAGAAGATCCGCTTCTACCTGGGAGACAAGAAGATCTCCCCCGGCATCGACAAGAAGGCGCCCGCGCTTACCTTCCGCCGCTCCTGGTGGGGCACCAACAAGCTCTGCTTCGAGATCCCCCTGGACGGCCAGGGCGTCACCCCCTGCAGCTCCCTGCCGCTGCTCTGCTCCGCCGACGGCTGCAAGCTGACATTAGTCACCAAGCCCTTCGACCAGGTGAGCCTGGATTAGGATTAGGATTGTTACAGCGTCCCGCGGTCGCCCGCTCCTGGAGCCATCCAGGCTCATGGGATTTTACAGTGAAGCACCAACGTTGTGTGACTGAGGTTCAGGTGGCTACGTTGCGCCGTTCGAAGCGGGCGTGCGTGCCCACGCCCTGTGGCGTCGGGCCGCGCTGCGCAGGCCGGCGCGGGCTGCGCTGCGCGGGGCGTGGGGCGCGCGCGCCGCATTGGCGCCGGCCCGGGGTCCGCCTTTGAGAGGCTGGCCTGCCCCGGACCCCCAGGACTCACGGTACACCCTTCCGCCAAAACTCATCCCCACCCCCCTTCGCTCGCCGGCAACCCGCTCACCATTCGCAGGACGGCAAGACCGGGCCCAAGAAGAAGACCGGCTGCAAGATGTCCTCAGGCCTCGAGTATGGTGAGCTTGCTCGAACTCTAAACCCTTGGCTTTACAAGCCCCAGACGCGTGGGAACATCTGAGCGCGGTCGGGGGCGGGTGCCAAGTCCAATGAACGCATGTCGCCGAGGGCAGCAGGGGCTGCTGGGGCGGGGGATATGGTGTCAGCGCAGCGGGCGCCGCGCGCGCTACTGCTTCAGCCGCCGGCCTTGCTTAGAGTCAAGTTGCGCTTATTGTTTTGTGGTCCCCGGGCCCACCTCTCACCGCATCATCCGTCCTGAACCCCCCCTCCCTGCCCCCGCAGACTGCACCGCCACCTGCACCCGCCCCGGCTTCAAGTGCAATGCCGCCAACCTGTGCATCCCGTACGTCCCGCCCCCGACCACCGGCGACGACTGCTCCAACGGGCCCGCCGATATTTGCAAGGTCCAGTGCCTCAACGGCGGCACCTGCCTTCCCCCAGACTCCTGTGACTGCACGGGCACCGGCTACTCCGGCCCCACCTGCAACATCCGCAACTGCACCGGCTTTGCAGTCAACGCCGGGGCCGACCAGACCGTCACGACCGGCACCGTCAACATCACCGTCGCAGTCACGCCCGCCGCGTTCACGCCGGCGGACATCTCGTTCACCTTCACGCCGGCCACCGCCGGCGCAGCGTGCGTGGCGGCGGCCGGCGCCCCCGGCGTTTACACCTGCAGCGGGCTGCCGAACGGGAAGACCACCATCAACGTGACCGCCACCAAGGACGGTGAGCAACGGTCGCCAGCCCGGCTCACAACATCTTCCCGGGACACCTCCTCCGCCTCACACTCCCCAACGGGCCCCAGCCGCGCTGGCGCCCCGGGCGCGAGCGCCTTGATTGCTTGCGTTTTGCAGCTCATCCGCCCTCACCCCTCAAGCCAGGTCACGAACCAGGGACCCGCCTTTCCCTCTGATCCCCCTGCCCGCCTGCCGGTCTACCACACCCGTTGCGCGCAGTGTGCGTGACTTCCGATACCGTTGACATCACCGTGACACCCTCCGGCGGCGGTGAGTCCCCCGCTTGATGGCGGCGCCTCGTGGTGCCCCAGACCCTGCGCGTTTCGTAATGGAAACGCTTCGGTTCTGGCCAGAAAAGAGCAAGGCTGCACAAGATGCTCAGTCTGCTGAGTGCAAGTCAAAACCAGCACAGCCGGCTTGCATGGGGTGAAGCTGCCGAGCCCCACAATCACGCCCCTCGCCCGCGCGCCCCTTCCCCTTGGCCCCTGCCAGGCTGCACCGACGTGGCTGTGTCAGTTGTTCCCGCCGCCGCCAACGTTGTCAACGGCGCCATCGACGTGACGATCACCCTGGGCGCGTCCCTGACAGGCGCCACCCCCGTCGTCACGGTCACCCCGTCCGGCACCTGCGCAGTCAAGGCTGGCAACGTCTACACTTGCACTGGCTTGGCGACCGGCCAAAGCACCATCAGCGCGAGCGCCACCCTCGGAGGTGAGCGGGGCCGGCGGCTGGCAGGCTGGTGTTTAAGCACGGGCCAGGGACGCAGGAGAGAGTGGGGCAGCGGCAATGTGTGCCGTTGGCACACACCAACCCCACCCCTGCCAAACCCCCCTCGTTGGTCGGCCCGCCGTTTACTGCCGCTCGCCGCAGACTGCAAGGGCTCGGGGTCCGTGGTGGTTTCCACCTCCACTGGTGAGCAAAAGGAGCAGCCCGCTCTGGTGACCTGGTACACACCGCCCAGCCCGGCGCATCTCTGCTCCCGTAGAGCCGGCCCATCACCAGCCAGCTTTATCCGATTTGCCCAGTATAGTAGATTTAAGCGGACTGCTGCTCCTCCCCCCAAAAGTACATGCAATTGCCGTGCATGAATGTGTCTTGCATCGCGCGAACCAGTGATTTTGGCCACAAATGCGTGTGATGCTTCGCTGCCTGCACAGAAGCCTCCAGCCCGCTCTCCCTCGCTCACGCACCTCGCCCCTGCGCCCCCCCC